GCAATCAAATTGAGTGCCTTGCAATAGTGAACGCGGAAATAAGCGAAGAAGGAGCTGATAAAGTTCGAGTAGCCTTGCATGTCCAGAAAAACAAGGATAGTACCCTCCTCTTAGGGACCAACGTTCTAAGCGCTTTAGGGATCCAACTCAGATTTGAGTGCGACAGAGACCCGTCGCGCAGCGCGACTAGTATGCCGGAACATGCAAAGGCTTCTAGAAGGGTAGTCATACCACCCGGAGCGGTGGCAGACATTGAACTAGAGAGCTCAAAAGAGTCTGGTCAAAGGATTTTTTGGCCCAGGGACCCCCGTGTGACCTCAGGCGTGTGCTTGTTGAGAGAGGGGAGTACGGCTATTTCGGTAGCAAATCGTAACTCTCAGACATGTTTAATCAATAAGGGTGAGCCCTTTGGAGAATGGTCGGATGATGGTTCCCGCCAGGCTTCCGGGATATGAGACTGGGTCAAAACAGATAACATTCGAGCCAGTTCATGAGGTGACGAAAATTTCAGGGCGCCAAATGGGGCATTGGGAATAATATCGATCAATGTTGCTTCGACGGAGCATTCGACTTCAACTCCTTGACACAACAGCTTGCCAGGACATCGCCAGTCCACATGTCGTACATCGCTTGTTGATGAGAACGTCGTCCTGAAATTAGAATAATGAATTCTGAAACACGTCTTGGATATTATTTTTTTGAATTGTAATTCTGCTTTCTTGGGCCTGCCACGTTTTCCGCAGCGACTTGTCAAACCCTTGACTGGTTTATCACTAATCTGTGGAGGAACTTTGATCAGGTGGTCAAAGGGTGTTTCTTTTGGAGGCTTATTCTCTCCGATATGCGTTACTAAGGCGGAATTCTCTGAGGCTCTAATCACGCGAAATGGCCTCTCCCAGGGTATAACGAGTTTTGGGTGTCGCGATTTACCTTTTTCTGCGGGAATTTTGACATACACACGATCTTTTACGCAGAATTTCGTGGATTTTTGAGTGCTCCACTCTTTGTCATAATTCCTTTTCATCCTATTGCGGTATTGATAGGTATATTCCGTGATATGCTCACGAGCCATCTTTAACCCACACAAGAATTCCGTCTTATAATTGTCGTAGCCCACCATATATGGTGACAAATCTTTTGATGGCATAACAGCCGATCGGTACATAGGGTCATGACCATATAACAGGAAGTGAGGACTTTCTCCAGTCGCTTCATGTGGCGCTGCATTGTATGCATAAACGATGGTGGGCAGGATCCTATCCCATTCAGCGGGCACAACCGTCTTTTTCCTGAGCATTTTGACAATTGCACCACTTGCTCTTTCCGTTATACCGTTTTCCCTTGGGCAGTACCCCTTGGTGAATTTTTGTTTAATTCCCATAATTGAACACAGCGCTTCCATGACAGAATTTTCAAACTCGCTACCGCGATCGGAAAGCAAAGCAGCTGGCCACCTACCACAACCGCAGATCCAGTTACTGAACAGCGCTTCCGCTACAGTCTCAGCCTTTTTGTCAGGTATGGGATATGCTCCAAGATACTTTGTAAAATGGTCTACAATGGTGACTATGTACCGGTTCCCGCGACTAGTCAAGCACATTTCAAGTAAGTCGATTTCGACAATTTCAAATGGTTTTACCGTTACTACCAGCTTTAAGTGGCGCTATGTTTTGCCTCTTATTGTTGGTCAAAAAGACATTCTCTGCACCACCTTACCAGATCACGATACATTCTTGGCCAAAATACCGTTTTGCTGAGCTGATCATACATTTTGCGAGCATGGAAATGACCTCCCAAAGCTCCATTATGCGCTTCCTTGAACACTTCATGTCGTCGACTTTGCGGGACAATTGGAAGAAACGAACCTTCTTCGCTTATGAGCATCAACTGGCCATTTTCAATCACGAAATCAAGGGAACTCAACTTCCATCCGTATTTAGGGAGTCTTACCTCCTCTTCTCTTCTATTGAATTACCAAGCTGAAATCTGGGTCTTCTCGCAACTCGCTCAGCCAGCTGTGCTCTAGCACGGCACACACCACTTTCTCGTGCAATCCACACGGATGGGTTTTCCCGAAGGTCTACTGCACCCCGTGGTAGTGCGTCTGCCACGCAATTCGCCGCACCCTTTACATGCTCAATGCTCAAATCATACCGCTGCACTTCCAGCGCCCAGCGCAAAACGTGAGGGGTAACATGGACTCTTTTGAATAGCGATGTCAGCGCGGCGTGATCCGTGCGCACTATTGTATGGATACCAAAAATGAAGTAATGAAACTTGTTAAGGCTATAAATGAGCGCTGGAGCCTCCTGATCCGTCACGTGGTAGTTGCGCTCCGCCGTGGACAACGATTTTGAAGCAAAGAAAGTGGATGAATAAACCCGTCATCTCCTTCTTGAGTCAAAACCGCTCCAACTCCTATTCTACTCGCGTCCGTGTAGATTATAAATTCGGGTATGATCCAACGCTTTTTCGATGGTAGGCTGGCCTAGCACTGGGGCATTTGATAGCGCGTCTTTTTTTTCGAATGCCTGCCTTACTCTGTTCTTCTGACCAGATGAACTTATCTTTAGGGCTCGTTAGCTCGTACAATGGCTTAGCGATTTCCGCGTATCTCAAAATGAACTTGCGATAGTACCCAGCCATTCCCAGGAACGTTCTTAGTTGGGCGATATTTCCCGGTATAGGGTATTCCCGGATGTTGCGAACCTTGTCAGGGTTCGCTCTTATACCATCCTTATCCACCACGTGGCCTAAAAATTCCAGGCTATTTTCCATCAGGCGGCATTTTTGAGGTTTAACCTTCAAATTTGCCTTCCGGAACGCTCCAAGTGTTTGCTCCAACACTTCTAAATGGCGCTTTTCACTTTCGGTGGCGATAATATATCACAATAAACTGAGACTTCTGGTCCTTTAAGATCACCAAGAACCCGGTCCATTAATCTTTGGAATGCTGGCGCATTTGTAAGACCATATGGCAACTCATTGAACTGAAACAGCCCCGAGGTTGTAGTGAAAGCACTTATTGCCTTCGCTTTTTCTGAAAGCGGCACCTACCAATAGCCACTAGCTAGATCTAAAGATGAAAACCATCTTTTTCCCTGCAAACTCTGCAATGTCACATCTATGGGTGGCAAGGGATAACAGTCCTTTTTCGTTGCTTTATTGACTTCCCGGTAATCAACACACAACCGTGTACTACCATCTTTTTTAGCAACCAAGACAATTGGAGAAGCCCAGGGTGACTGGCTATTCTCAATTATTTTCCGATCTTTCAGGTCTGAGAGCACGTCATCCATTGCTTTCGAATACCAATGGGTACAGGCCTTGTTTTCTGTTTTTTTTTTGAATGGGAGGGTGTCCCTGCACATCGATATCATGTTCTATCAGATAGTGTATGCTCAAGCTCACTATTAGTCATTGCAAAAGTTTCACCAAACTTTTCTAGGACGCGAACAAGTTCATCTGACAGTTTTCCTGTGCTATGATTCTGCCTCCCAGATTATATCGATCAAAACTTTCATCCGTTTTTGATTTCGGCTAAGAGTACATGTCTTTCCATGTCAATCATTACCACCTGACACGTCTTGACATGACTCAGGCGGATTAATGCGAACGCATCATCGACCATTCTCCAAGGGCTCACCCTTATTGATTAAAATGTCTGAGAGTTACGATTTTGCTACCGAAATAGCCGTACTCCCCTCTCTCAACAAGCACACGCCTTGCAGCCGTTCACACGGAGGTCCCTTGACCAAAAAATTCCTTTGACCATGTCTCTTGTTGAGGCTTCTAGTTCAATGTTGCGCAACCGCTCCGGGTGTATGACTATCCCTGTCTGGACGCCCTTTGCATGTTCCGGCATACGTAGTCGCCGCTACGCGACGGGTCTGCTGTCGCACTCAAATCTAGCATTGATCCCCTAAAGCGTTAGAACGTTCCGTCCCTAAGTAGCAGGCAGGCTTATATCCTTTATTTTCTGACTATGCATGTACTCGAAGCTTTATCAGCCCCTGGTATCGCTTATTGCCGCGTTCACTATTGCCAAGGGAGGGAACTCCATTTGGTTGCCTAAGCGCTCGAAACACCTTATGCTCACAACCGTTGCTTACCAGCTCTACTTCGCTGTCTATGTCAAAGCCCCTGCTTTTAGCTTGTTTGAGGAGACCAGCTGGTAATATGGAGATCACTGAACCAGTATCTATCAATGCTCTTACTTCGATTCCGAAGATTTCCGCGTCGTATAGCGTTGGTTTCCCAACCGCTACGATGCCCGATTCTACCGCCAACTTTTGGCTGCGAACCATCCCACACCAGTCCTCTACGAAAGTGGTTAATGATTTCCTGGGGGCACGCTCATCTTTGGGGTTCCTATTTATCCCCTGGCCCTTCCCGCCTGGAGGGTGACCCTTCGGTATTGATTTACTAGGACAAGAAATGCTATTGTGACCGTTCCGCCACAGTTAAAGCATTTCTGCGAACCTCAATCTTCATTGCTGGAGACTGCCGTTTTCTCGGAGTATATCCTCCTTTTGAAGGGTTTGAACTTCCCATTATGTTCGTCCTTTGGGGGTCGTGCTGACTGAGTCTTTTCAAGCCTCAGTGCAACCTTTTTAACAGCATCATATGCCTCCCCATCTTGCGCCTCTAAAGCCGCTAACATGTGGTATGAATCCTTCCAATGTTGCAGGCATGAGTATAATTTTGAAGCTAAATGGAAATCCCATTCGCTACTGGGATGGATCTTCCTGGAGATATCCTCCGTGCGACAGCAGAAATCTCTTACCGATTCATGGCTTCTCATCCTGAGCCTGTCGTACTCATCGATTTCTTTAAGCTTTTCGCAAGGGTCACGCCGCGCATCCTTAAGGGCTTGCACTATCCCGGCGAAATTACCCTTTTTAACAATTTCTGGGAGCCCTTTATACACTGATCGCGCCGACCCTATTAGATGGTTAACCAACACATCACGCCTATCTCTGTCCGACCAAACTGTCATGGGATACTTCATTTCCAATGCTCGCTAAAAGTCACTGAGGGACTCTTCCCATCATATTTTGGGACTTCCGCCATGCTTTGCGCTTTGAAAACCTCTTTAAATACGCTGAACATCCCATTCATGGCATGCGAGATATGACTAGCCTCAAAGTTGTGCGAGTTTTCTAAGACAGAACTCGACTCACCGACTGTCGATGCGTTGGAAGGCTGCCGACAGGATGGGCTCGACCGTCAGCTGGAGATTGACCTCTGGCGCCTCGCTGTCCCATCTTTCATTCCTGGGCAGACGGGCTGTCGGCTCTGGAAATCGGTCTTATTGCCACTTTTCAGTGATAGAAGCTGTTGACTAACAGGCGACCAATCCACACAATTGTTTTTCTCACCTTGAGCTTGCATATCTGGGCGTACTTGGTTCAAGGACGTCGCCAGCCTCGCCGTGAGTTCTTCTACTTGGCTCTGCAACTGCCAATTTTTATCTTTCAGGCACTGGATGCTCTTTTCTTGATCACTTGTTAGTGATCGGAGCCTATCCAGCTCCAAACTTTGAGCTCTTACAGTTGACGAGACCTCTGGAATTTCGCAGCCGAATTCCTCCGCTAGGCTCTGCATCATACTACTATTGTAACTCGCAATTGGCAGAATTTTGCGCAATTCTTCTGGAGTTATCGAGATTTCCTCGAAAATAGTATGAGCTGCTCGGCCAATAGCTAGCCGAGCTTCTTCCCTAGCGATCTCCACTGTCCCTTGGACAGTTTCGAGTATGTTCTGCTTTTTCTGCGCAGATAAGTTGCGTATCTGCTATCCAGAGTGTCCCGCAACCGGGTAATAATGTTATCCAAAGCATCGGATGAATGAGGATCAGTTGTGCCTAGCTCAATCTGTGTTCCGCAGTGGTTTTCCACAAACGTCACATCCATGTTGCTTTCCGTGATTTCCACAGACTGGTTAGCTGCTCCGCTAATCTCAGACTCAGATCTGAAATTGAATTACAATCAGTCAATTCGATGTTGCCAGGCTTGGCTCTCATGCGGTCAAGTGTTTAGTGGGTTTTTCCCCGATTAACAGTCAAATCCGACTGATGAATCAACTTCAGAAATGTACAGAACAGAATAGATGAGAAATTTATTACAATGAGATACAAAGTAGCAAGACAAAAAGTATTAATTACAAAGAAGACGAGCTGGCCTATACTGTCAATAGGCCTATTTATAGCAAGTGGGCGTGGCCGTCGAGGGAACTGTAGCCACCGCAGCTGTTATACCTGGGGACAAGGCAGCTGCACGGCGTACCCGCCGGCGCAGCCCCGTTTTTACGACCGTTCAGAGGCCGCGGCGTGACTTCCCAATAGTCTCGAACCCGAGTCTATGTACATTACATATACATTACAGCTTTCTTTAAAGACACATGGTAGCTCATACACACTGAGGGTGTATGAGACTATCAGCCCCCCAGCGGTCGATGTGTCGTGGTCCCCCCGCCCAAAACTGCACGGGGTCAGAGTACGGGACCGTGGGAAAGTCGTAATTCCTTGCTACGCCGCCCGTTTTTGCAAACTCACGTTTTTACTAGCACCGTCCGCGGTCGCGTGCAGCTCTCTTGGCTTTTTGTCAAGTCCTGTAATTGCGCTTTGGAATACAAGTACAACGCAATTTCTTTATGCGGATAACATTTTAGGTTTCTGCATTTTAGGTTTCTGACCCATCTAAAATATCTCCTGAACTTGTGGGTCTTCGGGAAAAACTGTAATACTAATTGGAGAGAGAAAGATGGAGGGGTTCAAGACGACTTCAGTCCTGATGAAATTTGCGCTTTGAACGAAGAGTCCTTGTGTGAATCATGAAGCCAGCTCGCGATTTATTCCCTGGCCTAACCGTGACCCATCCGGAATATTTCAGCAACGGGGATTGTTCATTTCAGCTAGGTAGAATACACAATAGTAGAAACTTTGCCGTTGCTGTACTCACCATTCCTCAAAAGCTCCGCACCTAAAAAAGATATAACCCCCGAACAGACCCAGGACGTTGGCAAGTCCAACACCGCGCTCCAATGACGTTTTTCAAAGAAAGCGGTCGCAGCCTTGCGCCCTGCCGCCTGATCGCATAATAGCCAAGTATGGAACGATTTACTGCCGCCTGGTTATCCTTTTTCATTTAGCTCTGCATTTTTTGTATTTTCCATGTTTCGCTTTGTTGTTGTCGTGCATGTTTTCATTATTTCCCCGTCACCATTCATTGAATGCACATCTGGGCCCTGACACGCTCACCTTGGGGCTATTTTTTTTCACCAATTCGCCTATCAATGATCACCGTTAGCCGCTATTTCAACTGTGTTCCTTGTTACAAGGTGCATGTCATACATAGTTATCGAACGAGGAGTTTTATTTTGAATCCTAAGACAAAATTGTAGGTAATGCGAGGCTGTTGTTCAGCCTCATATTGCATGAGGCTGATAAAGCCTTTTATTTCCTGTATTTTAGAGCAGAGTGCGCCTTTCGAGAATCCAGATTCCATTTCAGGAAGCCATTTTTGGTGAACATGCATCTGGTTGTCAGTTAGAGCAACAGGGGGGGGGGTCGTATCTGGACCCTCTTCGAGGGGGGGGGGTCGTACCCACACCGCCATTTGACACATCCCCATGCTGTACCCTGATTCCAAAGCGCAATTACAGGACTTGGCAAAAAGCCAAGAGAGCTGCACGCGACCGCGCCGCGCGGATGGTGTTAGCATAAACGTGAGGGCGGTGCAGCAAGGAATTACGACTTCCCCACGGCCCCGTACTCTGACTTCGTGCAGTTTTGGGCGGGGGGACCACGACACATCGACAGCTGGGGGGCTGATAGTCTCATACACCCTCAGTGTGTTTAAGCGTACCATGTGTCTTCAAGGCGTAGCTCCGCCCACCATCAGGAGCCCTTACTTCGGAAAAGCCCTGCACACTCTTGAAAAATTATCCAGGATGGTGGCTGGGTATCATCTCGCTCATCACTCAAAACAGGCCTTGCCTGGTTTTTCGTCCCGGGTGATGGGGTACACCATAGCCTGCCAGTCAGACTTGAGCCCTCCGATCTGGATCCCTTTTCAAAAATGGGCGGAGCTTCTGCAGAGTGTGTGGTGGGTGGAGCTATCTGGGTAGTCCGAAAATTACGCAATAAAGATTAAAGTTTCGTAAAAAGGCGCAAAAGTGGGCATGGTCAGAGGGGCGGGCTTGCTGTGCCAGTGGATAAATGTATATCTGTTATTGCACTCTTTCTATGAAGAATGAGCATGATTTCGAAAGTCAAAAAAAGTTATAAAGTCCGAAAGCGAAGCGATAGCGATAACTTCATCGGAAGGTGGGCGGAGTCTGTACCTGTCTCTATTGGTATCAATCCTATCTTTCCCAGTTAGAGTTTGGATGAAATAACAAAGTGCAAAAAGTCAGTGGAGCGGAGTTCGAAAAACATTAGGAAACCATCACCGCCTTGAGGAGTGGGCCAAGTTTTACGGCGGGGCTTGCAATGGTACATAGTGGTACCTAGTGTTATCTTATTAATCAGATGCTCACTGTAAAGGGTGTGTCCGAGTTAATTCAAAAAAGTACGATTTGATCTAGAAGTGTCTGTTTTGTTTTGAAAAGTGTCAGGATTTGAAAAATGTACGATTCAGCTTAAAGAATCCGATTTCAAATGGGAGTGGTGTATATGACCATAATGTTAAGCGACTGGCTTCTTCAACCTTCACAGTTTTTCTCATTTTTCGTCATTGTTTCTGAATAAATTTACCGAATCCGACGTTTTTCCTTTTCCTAACTGAAGAGCGCAGAAGGAGAACTATGATTTTGCTGTGCTTTCGTCTGAGTGCACATGCGAAGCGGTAGTTGAGCTTCTGACTCGTCTCCCTCGCCTTTTATCATTTGTTCGATTTTTCAGCTTATTCAGTGATTTTTCATTTAATAATTCCTGTTTGTGTGCATAAGCGCTATTTTTATATCTCGAACAAGTCGATTCAATTCGGGTTTCTCTTCTCAAGCCATGCAAGCGGTATGAAATTCCACTTAATGTTGCCTTCACCCGCTTGGAAACAGCGATCGTAAAGAAGATTGAACCACAGTTTTCCAAACCTACGCACAGTAATCACTTTATTGCTAGGTAAGATGGACTGCAATGACAGTGGTATAATTCTCAAATGTACTTTGGATTCTGCTCACAGATTCCCACTATGAATCTGAAATACATATGGATTCACAGCATTTATTAAGTCGCATAGAATTGATATCTATATTTTTTGAAATGGTGATACTTCCATTTCCAGAGGTTCTGTTCAAAGCAAAGGTGACGAGAGTAATGGACTCAACACATGAGGCATTTTTGTCTCTCACTGAAGGCGCACTTGTCGATGTCACTGCAGTGAAATTCAGCGACCGCACTGATCTAATGGAAGGCGTGGTGAGACTTTCTTCTCGAGGAATAGGGATTTTGAGGTGTAGGAATGCACTAGAAAAGTTTCAAACGTGTATTGCTCTATATACACCAAGAGTAAGTTCATCCCACAGAATCATTGTGCTCTTTTGCTGCAAGAATTTTCTGGAATAAGGATCGGACGTCGAAGTGGTGACGAAGTGGTCATCTGTAGTAGGACCCACATCAACGAACGTATTCTGATTAGGTTTTCAAAGTCTTCCCATCTATACCCCAAATAGGGGCGATGGAGGTTCTGTCCGTCGCGTTGTCCGACATTTTGTCGCTCGAAAGCGAGTGGCCATGTATTACATTAAGAGCGAAGATGACCGCAGCCCTAGCGGCGTGGTATTAGTTTGGCGGAAAAATTCTGGCATGTTTTTTGAACTTGAGATGCTTGGTTCAACTGAATAAATATGATAGTGTGACAGTAACACAGAGGGCTCTCTGTGTTACTGTCACACTTCCTATCGATGCTGCAGCGCCGCTCCACGGACAATGTTTTGCGACACTGATGCTTCAGAGCAGGATGCTGCAGCGTTAAAGGCAATTTAAGGCCTGTATGTCTATTTCAACTCAACTTAAGCGAGCCGCGGCTTGTGAAACTACTGGATGGAGAGCTGCTTCAACAGCCGATCTCTACACGCAGCAGCATCGATAGGAAGCCAAGGGTTGGTCGGAGAGAAAGATTTGTGTTTACAATGCGCTTCCAAAATTACACCGCCACTATTAAAAGGTCAAGGCGGACCCCATGCAGTACAGCTGGATGGCTCTGCCTCAGCAGCGGTATAGCACAAACTTAGTTCTTTCCAGCAACTGATGGTCCCGAATTAAGTCATTACATGGTCGAGAAAAACCACGACCCGAAGCCAGGTCAAAATAGAGCTTACATCCTTCTCTGAATTGCGCCGGCCAACGGTTTGCTTGGACGGGATTCATAACGTGCACTAACAAGGCAGAGACGATAGTGGGTATTTGATCGTATACGTTTCTCTACAAAAGAAGGTCTATTCAAAAAAAACAGCTTCCTCGACAACCTAACCCAGTGGAGACGGGTTTATTTTACAGGCAGGAATCATAGGTTCTATTCATTGGTGCGCTGAGAGTTTTGCTTTTTCTAGGTTTAAACAGGGCTCAAACATTGCTAGTACATCAATGTTTTCTTTGCTTGCCTGTACAGAAGATTAGGCGGTATCAAGAGAGCGGCACCGGTTCCATTTTAAGAGGTCACGTAGTACGTAGCGGTTGAACATGGCAGTAAGCGGTAGATGTTCAATCTAACTAACTGCTCTGAATCTTTTCAAGCACTTAGCTTCTGTTGGATTCTCCAGAAGAAGTCTAATGAGGGAAGATCAAGAAGTCTGTCCGGCCGTTTTAATGAGAGGCACAATTCTGTATCTGAGACACTGAGCTCAAATCCGCTTTCGGAATCTGCCGAACGATTCTTTGAACTACGATCTCATGATTAGTGACCTGCGAAACGAGCTTATCCGCTACACCATCGACCGCTGCAAGAAGATCCATCTCCGAATCTTCTTGAAAAAAGGCCCGATAGCTTAGGAGGAGTACAGATTGAAGTTAAGAGCTCGTAAGTCACATCAGAGAGTCGTTCGGCAGATTTGAAAGACGGATCTGAGCTGTCGCAAGACGCGTACAGGAGTCTGCATCTAATTGAAAACGGTGGACTGACCTGAAGGTTTTCCCTTGTAATGCTAGCTCGAGCTGCAGACCAGCACCTTTAGGTGCCAACTCTTCAAACTGATGACTTTGAATGGGAGAGGCTGCGTTCATTCAGGTGCGCTGCGATTTTGCAGTCGCACGATTGTGATAGTATGTGTCCTGTCACAGTGCTGATTCTACTCATTAATGGCTGACCGTTGCATAAAAGAAGAAATGTTTCAGTAATCTTGGGACATTTCGCCTCATCTCAAATACTACAGATACTGCGGCCCGCAAGAGATAAATTCGCTGACGATATGCGAGTTCTCCATATACAATAATGACAACCCCTTAGCGCGTCTGTAGGCCATCATAATCATTTCCCGTTATGCCAAAGTTGTCTCAGATCATAGCTGATCGAAGACAGATTTGGTTCGAACAGGAAATGTTATGATTGCAACGATTCAATCGCTCCTTTCTAGGTACCCTGTTCAAATAAAGATGGTAAAATTTTGTGGCATATCATGCCGCACATTACCGATACGTAACAATAGTCACAAAATGCCCCTTCCCCGAAACTGCGTCAACTTGCAAACAGATCTCAATAAGTTTGGCTTGCTTCCGACCCAGAAGAGGGCCTGGACATGTCAGGACTCGTGCCTTACTCCACTCACGTTTTGCGAGTGCTGTATCAATGTTAAGGGTCTCAGACATCCTTTAGATACAAATTATAACTAATTTCAGATGATCTTGAAATTTTGTTTCAACTTTGAAAAGTGAGTGAATATCATTGAAGTAACTATCGATGAATGGGCCTAGGGTTAGGATTTGCTTTTATTCATCAGAAGAAAGTTAAACACGGACAGAGTAGGAAAAGGTGGGCCGGAATGACAAGGTGAAGCTCGAAAGGACTCGGGTGAGGGGGGGGGGGCTGAAAGTGTGGCTATACAGGTGTGATTGCAGAGTAGACCTGCTAGGGCTAAACTTTTGACGTAATGTCTTGGGATTGCGAAAACGCGACCCGGTGGCATTTTTCCAAAAGCGCGGCGAAAAATCTGAATTAGTTCCCAGATTGAGTCTTGACGCCAGGATAGTGATGGGATTACTGGGCAACGTCCTCATCACCATTCCTTCAAAAGTACAAGAGAATGTCAGAGTTGGCTGGAACATTTCTGTCAGACGCAGTGCGCGTCCATGAAACCGAATCTGGCACTCTTTCGACGGAGAAACAAGTCATATACCAGTAGGACGCTAGTCTGGAACCTATCTTCCGAACTTGTGCATTTGTCTTTGAATGGAATACTGGATTTTTCCCAGATTTCCCAGACCAAAGAAGAACTGTTCTTTGAAATATTTCACTGTGTTATTGATGATACTTCGAAGCCATGTCGCTGGATACTGGCACAACAGTGACCATCACAGTCCACTGCAATCTTCTGCAAAACATAGGTAACATCACGCTCAACTTCGTTCGGGAGCACTTCTTTTGTCTCTACTACTCGTCAGTGGGAAGAGCACGTGGTAGTGATGAGGCTGCTTTAAAGGATTATGGGTCTCGTTCAGGGAATGCGACCGTACCCAGTTCATTCACCGATGTTAGCAGCCTCTGAGGACCTTCTCATTTGATCCTTTCTTCATCTTTAGGAGACGAAAATTTTGAAAATCAACGTCTACTTGAAAATGAGGTCCACCTCTTGGTTTCATCGTACTTACCGTAGTTTAGCAATAATGGAATCGAGGATCTGGGCGTAAGGTATGCACTAGTCCTATTATTTAATGGTGATTACCTTGTGGATTCGAGTCTTTAGCGAAGGAAAATTCGGTTAAAAATTTTGTCAAAGTGTTGCAGGACTTTCTCTCGAACTGAACATGTTATGAGCAGAGAAGTAACGAGTGTCACGAGTCGGTACAAATCCACTCGATCGAAAAGCGAAAGTAAAAAGAAATGAGAAAAACAAAAAAGGGCAAAGACAAGCAAACATACCATAACTCCCGTTAAGAAACAAGGTAGACCATTTGTCTAACCTAAAGACTGCACGTGTGTATATGTATACGTTTCGGTTTGAAGAAATGACGAGTCTGCAGAACAGGAAGAACCATAGAATCTGTAGAAAAGCCAAAAGACGGATACTTGATTGGGGTTTATCGCCCAACCTCGACATTAGGAGAAATATGGTTCTTGCGAAATCTCAGCATTTCTGTAGGTTCCGCTTCCTCCCAATTCGTAAGGTTTGAAATCCACACATGAACCTTCTTTCCTCCGCAGTTCCAGCGTTACTTCAAAAACATCATGTACTTGAACATGTCCGAAATACACTGGGATCTCTTACTGGTCATATATTTGGAATTACTGAATTACAGGAATGATGGGGATGATCTCCAACTATCTCGAATGCATTTTTGTTGTGCGTGAAGGGGCCTGACACGTCGATGGCTAGAAAGATCAGCGAAAATCCTTCATAACTATGTTTGAAGAAACCGTCGGTTATTTCTTGAAAGCAGATTTGGGATCAACTCTAGAAAGTGCGTCGCATGGTATAGGTTTCACAACAAATTACCACTTCAAACTGGAGTCATTCCTCAGTACGGATGTATCGCATAAATTCTCTGCAATGTACTGGGGGAGGGCAAAAAAAGATACTTCGCCCGAGGCACACATCAGTGAAGAATACGCAGCCTAGAGAGAAGACGTGGATAGATACGAGCACAGAGCGGAAGATAGCCAAGATGATCGTTGTATGCAGAAGCAGGCTATCTTCATGTAAACCAAAATATGAAGCCATCTGCTAAGGCAGCC